GCCTGCTTATATGCTAGCAGAAAACAGACCGGATCCCGTGAGCATAGAAAATCAGCCGGTCACACAAACAAACGTACCTGACAATGCGCCGGTTATACAGCAACGTGTTACGCGTTCAGGTAGACGCGTACGTTTTCCCGATCGATTTCAAATTACGCGGTAGTACTTAAGGCTTGCGCATTATTATAATAAGTATCATATACCATTTATTTTTATCCATCACTTTTATGTACTTTCATGTATTTTTAGGTATTACGTATTATATATTAAACTCCATGTAAATTCCTTTTTTTTTCAACTCTGTTCAAATACTGTAATGTAAATCTTAGTTAGGATAACGTATTTTATATAGTAGAGTAAATGGTAGTGGTAATGTAGTCGGTCAATTTTTCGTAATTGTGCCAATTACTGGCAGGGGGGTAGTGTGGCGGCCAAGGCACCACATACGCCTTAGCCGTTCGAAGCCGCTACAATGTATGGTTGCACACGAGACGATGGTTGCACACGAGACGACCAGAGCCGCGTGAGCCGAAAAGCCGTTGTCGTCGTCTCTGACCGTCTTTTGTTTTTGAAGGCCTCTTGGTACGGTGGCGATGATCGTACCAGAGAGTCGAGCGTAACCCGCACCACGAGTCACGTCGTTGTACGACAGCAACAATAAAATTGTGCGGAACGGAACAGGGCGGAGTCATTACCTTCCCGATCCCACATGTCTATTCACCAAAAATGATTGTAATTCACCCCCGGGACTAAAAATAATTTTTCCAGGATTAATTGAAATTTTTTAATTTAATTTTTTAATAATTTTTTAACGAAGTCTCAATCAACAAATTGATATTCATGATTTTCGTCTTATTTTGGCCTCTAGAATCTCCCAATAAAATTTTCGCCAGGGGTGGCCGAACACCCTATATACAATTTGTCAAACTTAACGAATCGTACGATCAATTACAATCCGTTGATCACGAATAAGAACTTTATATATAACAAGAATAACTCGACAAAGTGGTCGAAAAACCCTTGCAAAACAGCCAGGCACCACCCACGCTATCCACGTTCGGAGACCAATCAGCGGCGCGCAATTTTACGCAACTGCGTGTCTGGCTGCGTGCGCCCTACGAAAGCTCACAAGCTCCCTCAGAAGGGTGAATGGAACCTCTAATTTAGTCAGTGGCACGACCGCCCTACGATTCGTGCAGATCCACGCTCGCGTACTTTCGTAAAAAGTTCATCTCGAGTGAGAATTTCCCCTAGCGTCGCATCGTCTGAATCGCTCCATTCCATTTACTTTCCACCTTTTTATCGACAACAATGGAAATCGATTGTGTCGTGATTTCAATATCTCACAAAACGATTTATTAAACCTCGTTCGTCGTCGACTTTTGAATACGAAAGATGATCTTATATCCTCGTCCCATCGTTAAATTTTCCAAACTTACAACGCTTTGTATCGTTTTGTGGGAATTTTGTTTACCGTTTCTCTTGTTTGTGATACGAGATATGCAAAGTAGTCGGACCTACTATTAATTTTGAACAGAACAAGCAGCGTTGTTGAATTCCGGTTTGTCGATAAATTGTGCGGTATATGTATATTTTTTAAACCGAGACTCGAGCCAACGCAAAGTGCAGCACGAGTTACATCGCTTTCACACGTTCAACTGCACAAAGAAGATACCAGTACATGCACATAACGCAAGAGTTGCGTTCACTCGCTCGTGACCATGTTCGACCAAATGAATTCACGAATTTATAGAAAAGGGACACGCATGGGAGATTCGAAGATTCGGTTCTGCTACACTGGTTATTGATTTTTCAGCTGCTGCTACAACAATGATAGCCGGTTACCATTGTTGAGTGACAGGCATCAGTGGACAATGTGTAGCTTCAGAGAAATGAGAGTTCATTGAACGTCAGCTACGAGAAATACAGTAGAAGTGCTGTAACGCGAGCGATTGGTATGCCTCGTAAGCCAATTAAAAGTATTAAAAACATTATATAATACATAATATTATATATCGATCGAATATAACATACAAACTATACAAATGCAATGTTATTCGTTTACAAACATTTTTCGATCTCAATTTACATCGAAATACCTCAGCTTCGCAACAATTGGATTTTAAAATCAACACATCGTTCGAAGAAAGCGTAGAAATAATTCGGACAATGAAACCGGAGAAATTCGATGAAGGAACAATGATAATTTGTGTCGAGACGGCAGACTGAACGTTTTTAATTCGATAGCTTCCTTTCGCGGGGCGAAAAGATGGACGAAATATAAGCAGAACAAGAGAATGATTGGGCAGAGAGAATATTGGATGTCGGGCATATGGCAGGGATGAATGGCCAGCATCCGGTTTTCTGAATCACCGAGATATTCTTGAGAAACGCGTAAGACGTACGCCTAAATTTTCGTACGGTCGAATATTATTTCGAGAATCCGCCAATAAAAGAGCCGATAAACAGAGAAACCAACACGAGGAGCGCGAAATTACTTAACGCGAGGCAGCGATCGCTTAAATACCGTGTTTTGCATCGAGTAGCCAGTTGCGAGATAAGCGAAGATTATTTCATCATCGGGCACATATTAATCGGCCAGCGTTATGTGTTTAAAAAGTGACAAGGAACTGCGATTTTTTTACAATTTCTGGCTGGAAAAATACGCGATGCTCTACACTTGCGCAAACATGAGGCAGTGCTTCGACGGTATTTTAGTGCACGGTAATTCAAACTCAGACAACGAGCAATGCTACAACCGTTTCGACTCGTTTTTCTCTTTCTTTTTTTCTTTTCTTTTTTTTTTCATGAGAAACTTTAATTTCATGCCGCACGATTACAGGATGATTCATTCTCGGGATGCGTCAGCGCAACGTAAAAATGTTTCTTTTAATGTTAACAACCGTGACGGCTATCCGTGACCTATAAACGTTCCCATAGATAATGTTCAAATTACACAGATATGTTTTTATTTTTAAAGTGGCAGAACGGTCGTTAATATTAATTCCAAAAGATTAGGTTTTTTTTGCTGGTCACAATCAGTCATTTTGTCTAGGATATCTAATTTTTTAAATGAAGAATCGAGACTTTCATTTATGCCATAATTTTTCAAAAATGTACAATAAGAATAACGTAGAAATTCCAGCAAAAATGTTTGTTCATATTGCGGAAAGAAGAAAGAAAAAAGAGAATCCTACCTCCCTTAAAATATGAAATTCGTTTTCTTTTTGTTCTTTCTGAGTTTCATGTGAATTCGTTCTCTTTTACGACAAAGTACATACGTACTTTTGGAGCTTTTACGTTCTTAAAAAATTATTAAAACATACATCAAATTGTTTATCCTTCGTTAACCATTGTTGCCAGTTAGTATTTGCTAATTGTAAGGAATATCCGTTCTAGCTCAACTAGCTTATTTTTAAAAGCAAGCAATTGAAAATTGCAGTCAGATATCATTCAATCATCTGCATGATAGTTACTATCATTAAATAAGTGGCCAATAAACAGTGATTAATGATTAATTTACCACTTAATTTCTGGTTAATGTTTCCCTTGGTAATGTTTTAAATATAAATATGTAGAGCTGACTTAAAGATTTCAATGTATATACAAGATATAACTAATAGCTAGAAAAACAATTTTTTGATTTTAATAATTAGAGTTATTCCTTAATTTTTACTGAATACAAATACGATATTGTACAAATTAATTCTTGCGTTGTTAAGGGGAAAAACAAAGCCTCTGAATTTTAAATATATTGTTTGATGTTCTATAAATACTTTGTTAAAATTGTATTAAGAATTATTAATAATCTCGAAAGTTAGATTCAATTACGCAAATGTGTGGTTTTTAGACTGTGAACGTGATTATAGTGAACAGAGAATTTTATTTTCTTTATATTACTAAACCTAATGCACATCTATCTCAATGAATTTTTCAATAAATAAGAGCTCAAAACATGTGGAAAAGTTGCTAATGGAATATATACTTTCATAATTGGTTTCATATCACCGTAATGGATCGAAAAGTGCAGTCTTATTTCTACATGTTTACACAACGTTTTAACATTAAAAAAAAATACAAGTAAAGAATCAAACTAATGATAATTCGTTTATGTTATGATCAATTTGTTAAAATTTTAAATCGATCGGATGTATAGTCTTGGAAATACCCACTAGACTACTTTGAAAAAAATGCATCTAAAGTTTCGTTATTAGTCGTCAATAGGATTTGCTCCAAAAAAACTTCTTCGTCAATTTTGGCTCGATTCAAGTAAAATTTGAAAAGAACATTTTCGAAACTTCAATACCCCTAGAAAATCCACAAAAACTAAAATAAATTTTCTTTGTACCTATTACCGTGATCTTGGAAATACCCACTAGACTACTTTGAAAAATATGGTTTAAAAAAAAAATGCATACAAAGTTTCATTGTTACTCAAAAAAAAACTTGTTCGTCAATTTTGGCTCGATTCAAGTAAAATTTGAAAAGAATTCGAAGCTTCGATCCTCTATAAAATGCACAAGAAATAAAATAAATTTTCTTCGTACAAATTACCGTGATGTTTCTTCCTTAAGACGTGTTCTGGTATCCAACTTCTGGCATTGGCGCGTAAAATTGGTATTTCCGTTAAGCGAGCGTAGCATTTTCTGCGTGAGAACGCGTTTGTCGCAATAAATGAGACGAAGCGGACATGCATTCGTCGCCTGGAACGGAATAACCTTCTCACTTGGTCTCAATGGGCAAACGTAAAACTTGATTCCGAATGCGCTTTACTATCATTAGTTGCACGTGCTTCGCTTTCATTCACCTTGAGTCCCTTCCGATGAATTCCCGGCGCTGATAGTAAACTGCCGACGGGATTGGCTCCCGTTTGCGTGCGTCTGCTCGCCGATTGGCTGGTATTTCCTCCCGCACGTAACCTGGTGCAAGGCCGAGCCTGACCGAAGCCCAGGTCAGGGTACCCGAACAGCGTCTTCGACAGTTCGAACGAGAGGCTTGCGCAGACGAGATCGACTGGTCTTCTGCTAACGGCATCGACATGGCTGTGTACACGTTTACGCAGCCGCTAGTTTCAAATCGCAGCCTGTTCTTCGCTTTGTCCAACACGATCCTCGTGCTCTTGGCGTGCGTGCTTCTTGCGAAAGGTATCGGATCAAATCGTTAACAGGAACCGTCCTTCTTCGTTCTTCCTATCGCGCTGTTCGATCTGTGCGTTCTGTTGCCCGCGTACACACGCTCCGAAAACAGGATGTAGTTTATTTGTGTTCGTTGTTTTCATGCTGTGTGGAAACGGGAGGTGCGTGTACGGACACGGCCATGCACGTTTGTGTTCGTGACTGGGAACGATGCTATTCATCCACTTGTCACATGCACTCCTTGAATTGGTGTATCCATCTGCTCGTTACACTGTCACCCTTCCCCGCTTCAGAATTTCCTTGGTGCCTTCGTTCATAAAAATTAACGCACGATGTTTACTTCCTGTGCGACGGCACGAAATCTTTTTCCGACGGCTAGAATCATGATCGGCATTATTGCCGTGAAGTGGAATACGTTGTTGATGAAGGCAACGGGAAGGAGTCTCGTATTTCGTTAATAATATGTGTAACTGTATTCATCCAGTAATAATTTGATTTAATTATACCCACTTGAACGCGTAACGTTGTGACAGTGTCTTGTGTGTTGCGACATCTTAAAGATGCATTCGTAATTTTCGTGATAACAGAAATGATAACTAAAATTAACACTGTATTCTTAAAGAATATTTTATACATATACGTTAGTATTCGATTACATGGTACTGCCATGTAAAGAAATAAATTTTGCTTAGCATATCTGTATCTACAATATATTTTCGTTTCTTTTGCAGGAGGTACAAGTACTCCATTGACTAAACACTATGTAAATGACGCAAACTATTATGACATTTCGAGCAATGATGATAATTCAGATCCTTTGGAGAAGTTTTACTTAATTACTGAACAAAGGTGGCACACAGACACAGTGCTGCCTATCTCTTTATTGCCGTCTACCGAGGGAATGTCTGCTAGATCTCGTCACAGGTATATTCTTAAAATCCCTGTATTTCATGTGTGGTTATTATTTAATAAAAATCACATTGAATATACAAGTTTGTTTTACATAGGATCCCACAGTCCATAACGGGACTGGATGATGCTGGAATGGATTTGCAAGCAGCTCAACTCAGTACCCGTGCAGGACAGGAGGTACGTTCCACTGGAGCTTTACCATGGCTAGACTGGCAGTTATCCCTCTTTGTAGCACTTTGTGCCATTGCTGGTGCTATTCTCTTTACATTCTTGGTAAGATATTATTTTTGTGTAATTTCATTTATAATAAGTTCAATATACATACTGGAACGAAACAGTCTGCAATAATGTTTCACTTGTGTTTAGATTTTGTTATGGCTGTGGAAACAAATGTCGTGTGAAAAGGATTCAGAAGATGGTGATAGGAGAGGTTTGGTAGAGGAAGGTGCTGTGTGTCATTCGGGAAAGCTTGCTAAAACTACAAAAGGATCTGTTGAAGGCCAATGGGTACATCAACCTACAGTAAAACCATCTGTATCTATTCAGTCTGTACGACCAGTTACTGGTTTACCTGAGGTATATTTATTAAATGTTCAGAATGAAATGGGAAATTATGATAAAAACTTTCAGAATTTTGATAAATTATTTTGTTTGTAGGTGATGTCAGTGGCAACTCCAGAACGCAGACCAGAACCTATACGCGTAAGAGCGAAAGGATTACTAGAACGACGCGGTTCAAGTGCTAGTTTGACTATAGAATTGGCACCACCACCTGAAAGTCCACCACATGTAGTTACACCTACTCGTGAATGTACAGCAGAAGAATTTTTGTTAAGCGCTGGAAACGTTCTATCAAGGACTCAACTGAAGAAGGCTGTCAGTGATCCAGCGTCATTGCATAAAGAATTTTGGGAAGTTCCGCTTAATTTACCCGAGGAACTAGGTATTTACGGATCTTGGGTGAAAAATAGATATTGTTCTGTACTACCAAACCCGCAATCACGAGTAGTTCTACCAGGTTCTTCTGATGATCCGCTTTCCAGTTATATCAACGCTAACTACATTCGGGTATGTATAAAGTAGAAATGTTTGTAAAACTTATAACTTCTGTGTATGGTGTTTCGTATTATTATATATTTCCTTTAATAGGGATATGACGGAGAAGATGCCCGCTACATTGCAACACAGGGACCATTGGCTCACACGGTAGATGATTTTTGGAAAATGGTCTGGGCAGAGAAAGTCCCCGTTATTGTTATGATGACAAAACTACATGAAGCCGCCAAAACAAAATGCGAGGCATATTTTCCGCAGGATAAAAATAGTCGCATACAAGCTGTACCTTTTACCATTACTGTTATATCTCTTGATACCAGAGATGGTTACACTATCCGAGATTTAGAACTTAAATACGAAGGAGAAAGAAGACATGTGCAACATTATTGGTAATTTTTGTCAAGTTTATTAATTTTTTAAAAATATTCTAATGTTAATGTTTCGATGTAACATTAATAAATATTTCTAGGTTTGATTCATGGCCGGACCATGCTGTACCCGAAGCTGCAGATACCCTTGTTAGTTTAGCTGCGGAAGTAAATTCTCTATCAGGACCGGTTGTTGTTCATTGCAGTGCAGGAATTGGACGGACCGGATGTTTCATAGCTTTAGCAACCGGAATGATACAATTACTACGAGACGGAAATGTGGATGTGTTGGGCATTTTATGTCAAATGAGGTATGTAGTATTTGCTAGATTGAATTAAAATTTTGTTATATAATCAGAAAATATTAAAGTTGTAAGTAATTTAAAAATCATCTTTTTTTTTAGGTATGATAGAGGAGGTATGATTCAAACGGCTGAACAATATGAGTTTGTTCATCGTGCCCTTTGCCTGTATGAGCAAACGCTTGACGGTGGTAAATCGTCCAGTTCGGGAGATTGACGCGACTGAGCGGACAGTCGAGGGAATTGATCAGAATTTACTAAATGAAAAATTACACCTGAGTGTTACTACAGGAAAGTTTGCAAAACGACTGTGAGGTATTGTCTGCAACATATTACTTCGTCCAGGTGTGAATATCTCTGCCACGTAAGAAACTCTATGAAGAGAATCTCAATTTCAACTAATGGACGGCACATTAGTCTCTGTTTTCACCCGTTTAAGATCACCCGTCTCACTTAATAAGCTGCCATTTCTATACTGCCATGACGAATCGTTGATAATTAATATCGGTCACAAAGCTCAAGAGAGAAGCAAATGTTTAAATAATTATACTATTCCTAAACTGAATTAAAACTGTTTAACAAATGGAAAGATTATTTCAATTTGACTTGTGAAATGAAAGATCAGAGATTGTCTGAACATTGGTTCAGAATTTAATGCATTCTGTTGGCCTTATGTCGGTTATATGAATTTGGAATTATATAGTCTTCTCAGAAACTTGTACTCTCTACGATTGAAATAAATCTTCCTTAACTTTTAAACACAGCAAAGTGTTGCAAAATTAATTCAGCTGCCCGATATATATATATATATAAATATATAGTTACATATATAAATACTACTGGTAATAATTATTTGATTGAAATGATGAAATCATAAATACAGAAAGGCAGATTGAAATTATTACGAAATCGGGACCCAGATTAAGTAAATATTTTTATCCTATTTGTAGTTCCTAGTTAATTTTACAGTTTAACGTACACAATGATTTCCATGACTTTTAATTACTTTATCAACAAAGACTGAATGCAGGTAGTACAATACGTTTATTATATAAGTTACGAATCTAACTAGAAATAATATGCTTCTGTAACACAAAGCAAAATTTGTGACGTGTATGATGGTTGTAAGAAAAGTAGTTTCGCTAAAAAAGAACATTCAAAGTAGTGAATTGTAGGGTGGGTTCATTGACTTAAACTTTACCAATAATGCAAACTTTGTCGATTTCTGGTACAGTAAATCAAGATTAATGTTTACAGTAATTTTGACGTAATCTCAACAATTAGCAATGAAGGGAACTGCTGCTTTTATAAGTGATTAATGATTGATCTGTTCGTTTTAAAAATTAGTCTGTAGCTGACAATAAGTGTGATTTAAGCTTTTAAGAAAAATTGGAAAAGGAAATTACTTTATTGACACGAATAGCAATAGCTGAGCAGTTACATTATTCAGCTAAAATTTTCTTGGTCAGGCGAATGAACTTTATTAAACCATAGATTCCAACATTATAACAGTATAAAAGTTGTTCTTAGTATTTGGTAACTATTGCATACCATAAGGGAATACATTGCAAACTCTGCAAAATTTATGATGACTCATAATTATTGTTCGAATTTTAATTCGTTTTGTGCAGCTGTTTTTCATCGAATGCCAATGTAATTTATTGCATTGGTCCGTATGCGTTTCAATTTTAAACTATCATAAACGATCTCAACAAACGTTTGAAAATGAATGTGCTGTAGTCAAGTTGGATGCTATTTGCGACACAATTAATCTGTTTCACTTCGTCGACCGTGTTGTAACAATTTTCATTCTAATTATCGATATGATGCCTCGAAGTTCTTCTATCTTGTATGCGGTATGGATGTATGAATTTTGAGTGAAAGATTGTGATATGTATACATATATACAATATATATATATACACTTGTTCATATGTTGTACAGAGAGTAAAATATATTTAAGAGAGTATGTATTTGTGTAAGCAAATCAAGAGTAAATTATTTATGAATATGTAAAGCCTTAAGCTACATTAATTTAAACGTATTAATAACGTAACAAAAATAATAATTTAGAACCCCTTGGTGTTCAATTGTACTTATGTGACGTAATAAATGTTTATAGTATCCATATAAAATTTATGTGTATTTTTGTGTATAAAGTGTTATCGTAGTTGAATTAATTAAGTTTATTTTTCAAATTATTACACAAATAATTTTATCCTAGAATATATCACAGCTTTGATAAAAGGTATTTACTGTTTAATAAAGCTTCCACGTTTAATACATTATTATGTCTTTAATTTTATAAATAAATTTCTGTTTCGTATAACAAAAACCCTTTAACTTGTATATCGGCACTTTAATTACAAATTTGTCGATACGTGATAAATATATTTTTATTAGCAAGTGGAAACAAGATAATTGCAAGAAGTATATCATTGGGTACATATATATATGAATTTAGATATTAAAGATACTAAAAATGTTAGTAAACGACATACGTGTCGTAGATGAAGCAATGGATTATTCAATTTGGAGATTTAAAACGAAGAATCGTTTTTGGTACGGCGCGGTCAATCCGTTGATTTCGAGTTATGGCGCCATTTTAGTTCAGTGTCGACATCTTGAATCTCGGAGTCTCTCCGAAGGATACTCGAAAGTTTTTATCAGATTTTGAGATCTTATTATACGCACCGCGGTATCTTTCTAACAAATTCACAACACCAAGGTATCCGTATCGATATTGGTGCAACGGACGCTGAAATCAATGAGTTTTTACCACGAAACGGCCGATACTCCCGCACGCGGTATACAGAGCGCGCGTTCTTTAAATTTCGCCCGGAGGAGACTGAAGCGCGTCACGTGACCCGCTCAGTCTCGGCACGGACATGCACGGGACGCGTTTGTATGTATTACACGTCGTGCGCGTGTGGTGTCGGCACGGAACTCAAGTTTAGTCCGCGCCTCGGGATTCTACACGGCTCCTGGTGTGGCGAGCCAGTGGCAGAAAATATACGGAGAAATCATTTCGACGCGAGGAAAAAGAAAAGTCGACGGATTCGTCGGGTGTGCACCGTATCTTTTGTAACGCGGTCACGGATCCTTTTTCCATCGAGATGGTCACGTTATTGTCGTCGTTCGCCGTGCCGATTCCCGACGACGATCGTTCATAGATCGAGTGTCGCTGCACTCGAGGGTACAGCGAAACACAGTGCCCACACGGAAGTAGTATCGTGCACCGTATCGTTCGTGAATTTTAAGGTAAAGGACAGATAGACACAGCGAGGGGGACGGACGGACAGACGGATAGTGAAAAAAAAAACACACACACACGGAATAGAGTTACATTAAATGTTGTGTACTATGTGGGACGTCGCGTCGAGTGACATCGTAGCCTGGAGACAAAATGGGGCCCGTTGATCGGGCCCGGAAGATCTCAGGGGTCCGATTATCAACGGAGGTATGGATGTCATCGGGGACGGGGACGAGCAAACCCTCCAGGCGATTCTCGGTGAGTAAAATGTATACACGATCCCAAAACGACGCGACGCACGATCGAAACGTTCTTCGCCAACGGTTTGCGACGATTGACAAGCGTGACAGCTACCGGAGTGTCGTGGGTTCCTCGCGGTTCGCCATACCTTCGCACGCCGTAAATGCGTTCGTACGAACGTTCGGTTGCTCCCGTACGTTGACCTTAAACGCACCGGACACGGCTGATCGTGCGTTTTCGTGTTTCAGCCTCCTTGCTTTCTGACAGACCACGGGATGAACAGCGTTATCCTGCTCCACTTTGACCTTCCCGAACGGTCCACTCTTTTTACCGTGGAATGTTCTCGCGTGTAATGAGCGAATAGAATCGAGGATAGAAAATGGTCGGGCGGTCGTTAAAGTTACGGAACTGAAAAAACACAACGTTCCCCATTTTCGCTTCCGGTGTTCGCGATCGCTTTTTCTCATTTTATCGGTACTCCTTGTCACGCAGCGGGCCAGTCGCGTGGCGTTCTTCTGAAAATATCATTCCTTTTCGATTGTAATAGTCAAAACAATTGGATGATAAAATTCTAATATTTTATAATAGTGGTTCTTAAATTTTTAAAAAGGGACAACTGCACTCGTGATATAAAAAGAAATCTAAACGTAGCTTTTTAATTAATTTTAAATTAAGGTATTTTGCTTGATAGTTTAATCTAACATATTTATATAATTTTCGAGACTGAAAATTTAGAAATGTATTCAGTAGGAGGTTATAATTAAACTGATAAATTTCTGTGATCAATGTTTTCATTGTGAAGACGTTTTCGTTATCATTTTTTGTCGTGCCCTCTACTTTGGAAAACGCTGTTTTATAATTGTAGTGTTTACAGTAGCGGTGCATGGTAATGCAGTAATATTTTCACTGAATGTCTAACGTGTATACTGTTTAGGTATTGGATATCGATTTGAGCCATAATCAGTTGAGTCGATGGGCCCCCCTTCCCTAAACAATTCCAACCAGTATGTTTTGCATTCATTCTACGAACTGTACATTTAAAATGTAAATTTTTGTCGGAGAAACTGACAGTTATATTTATACCGTCAGTTTTATGTAGCATATTGGAGCGTTGAAAGGATCGAATAGCTTACTAATAATAAACGATAAAGCTGTTTAAATAAACAGAGGATTCTTTTTTTTTACGTAACACCACAGTGGAGGCGATTTAAGTTTGTCTGTACAGTGTTTGTGCATTTACGACAACAGTTGGCGGTTTGGGGATTGTGGTCACGTTGTTGGGATTATTTATAAATTGTTCCTGAATCGGAAAGAACGCTTTTATAATGCAAAATTCTTAGCTCGCTCTGATTGGTCTTCAAAGGAGAGCCGTATGCTTACGTGGATACATTTACCCTACTTTTGCCTTGACTGTGCTCCCTCCCCTCCATACTCGCGGAAAAACCGCCTTCGCATACCTGTTACACGTTTGGTTCAATGCATCGTGCTGCATCATTTCTCGTCATTATTCGGTTGCAGCTATGCAGATCGCGGTTGTAGATTATAGTTACGTACGTAAACGAGGAACGCGCAAAAAAAACTTACTTCAGTCTGGTCTTCTTTTTACACACCTTTCTTCGAGTTACATCGGTCTTCGGACGTGTCTTCAATTTTAAATCGTTTGTGTCTCGAGAATAGAATGTGCTAGAAGGCTGAAATTCAGTATATTGACTTATTTTGTATGACAATTCGAAATCACAAATTTTGAGAATTTATGATAGCGTATTAATGATAGATATGGTCCTTTATTTTCGAAACTATCAACCATATTGACTTTCCGTTTATTTTGTTTTTGTTAATAAGAATTTACCTTTTGGGATAAATTTTGAATTAAATATTGAATGTACATCATCTCTGTTTATTTTCACTTACTATTATTTTATGAAATATTATACAGGGTGTTCGGCCACCCGTGGGAAAAATTTTAATAGGGGATTCCAGAGGCCGAAATAAGACGGAAATGAAGAATACTAATTTGTTGATTGAAGCTTCGTTAAAAAGTTATTAATGTTTAAAGTTCCGGATGTAGAACGGCAATCTGCGAACACAGGCAAATTTTTTTCTTGAAAACAAGTAGGATTTCCGGGGTATATCTATTGACCAAAAATGATTGTAATTGCCCCTTGCAACAGAAAATAATTTTTTCAAAACGATTTGAAACTTTTTTTTCGCCGAAAAATTTGTGGCCCTTCTTGAATTTTTTTCTCGAAAGTGTGTAAGAATTTGTTGGTAAGTCTATTCACCAAAAATGATTGTAATTGACCCCAGCAAACGAAAATAATTTTTCCAGAACGTTTTGAAATTTTTTTTTTCCGCCGAAAAATTTCAGCAGTCGATTTTTTTTAAATTTGTTTTTCATTTTTAATAAATTTGTTTGACGTCCTACGGATATTTTGTTTACTACTTTTTTGTAGGTATTCATGAGCTCTATTTTCATACTAAATTTCATTGAAATACGTTCACTATTGTAGAAGTTATGGACGTTTGAAGATTGGGCCACTTTTATGGGGTTTTTCTCATTTTGCGGTGTTACAGAACAACTTTTCGAGTATTCTTGGAAGTTCTACATATTCTTCACTAAAATACGCGTTATTTGCTTTTTGAAACATTAAAATCGTCCAATTCGTTCAGAAGTTATGACGTTTTAAAGATACACATGAAATTTTGGAGTCACATTTCTGTCCTGAAATTATATTTTCGGTAAGGAATTTTTTTCTCGTAAATGGTTAGGATTTCGAGAGTATATCTATTGAACAAAAATGATTGTAATTGACACTTGCAACAGAAGAAATTTTGTTTAGAACGATTTGAAATTTTTTTTTCGCTGAAAAATTTCAGAACCTACTCGAATTTTTTCCTCAAAAGTGCGTAGGAATTTGTGGGTAAGTCTATTCGCCAAAAATGATTGTAATTGACTCCTGCAATTGAAAATAATTTTTCCAGAATGATTAGAAATTTTTTACTAACTTTTTAATGAAATCTCAATCAAGAAATTGCTATTATGATTTTCGTCTTATTGTGGCCTCTAGAATCTAGAAATCTCCTATTAAAATTTTTCCCAGGGGTGGCCAAACACCCTTCATAGTCTTTGCACATGAAATAATCAATATAAAAGTGTGTGAATTGAAAAACTTGTTTTTTCCTTCCTTTTTCATTAATGCTTGATTTATTGATAACTGAAGTTACGTAAGATGGAAGATATACAAATTGAGATGTGATTGCATTTGTACGTGAATAAATTATTCTAAGACATCAGAGACACGGTGATACGAGTTGGAAATTATTGTATACATAAATCAATATTGTACATATACAGAGCTCTAACAGAGAAGGAATTGAAACCAACATTGTGAGATCTACTGGATTTTGTGCGTAGTTCCACATCCGACAGATTTTGTACACAATTCAAATCTGCCGTGATAAGAAGAAGCTGATATTAAGATACGTTTACTTTTTATGCGTGTTTTATCTACTTAACACAATGGAGAATTGGTTCATGCGTTAATTAATGTTTTGTGTGTACAAAGATATTTCCAAAGTAGAACGAATTTAAGAGCTACTAAAACTTACGCAGAATCGAGATCGGATGAAGGTTGCACGCAACATAAATCAGATTTATTTCTAGTGTTCGACGATTAGAAGAAGAAGTTGGTATGGAGATACGTTTATAGTTCAATTTATCTTTCGTGCAATGCTTTTGTTTTGGTAAATTTCACGAAATCGTGGAGCTTGTTTAATTCAACGCGAATGAAATCGCTTCGGAGTTCGCGCGAGAATCATTCTCAGTCTCGATATAGAAATAATGCTTGGAATATTTGGCGTTCCCGACCATGTTTGCATCTTTTTGTGAATACTCGTGCCCCAAGCTGGTCTCCTGTGCCGGGTGCATTCACCTGCAACGAGTGCACTGTAGCATTCTTTATCTGGGTCGGAGGTTGCAGTGTAATGCCAGGTACTCTCCGTTTAGCTTGATCTTTCCGCGCGCGCTTGCGAGGAATACACACACACACACGGCATTTTTACTCGATTATTACGAATTATTCTCTCGTTGACAAATATCATTAAACACATCGAACGAACTTTGATTCAATTAGATTTAGGTTTCGAGCTATTTCTTATTGAATATTAAAAGTATTTACTTGTTCGATCAAGGCGATGCTTCCATTACTTTGAACTGTGTAACTGTATTTTCACTGACAATTATCGAAGCAAATACACGAAATACGTTGTTTACAATTATCGGAACAATAGATTAATGAATTGTTTTCATGATCATAATCTGCATCTCAAGTTTAAGCTTTAAGTATATTGCATTATTTATTGGTAATATAAATTAGTAATAAACACTAAGTAATTTAGTTCGGTTGGAAGTGTAAACATTTTATAATTTTAATAATTTTATCCGGATGGCATTGATCAGTTAAAATGGGAAACTGTCGTAAATAATAATTGGAAATTATACAGGGTGTTCGGCCACACATAGGAAAAATTTTAACGAGGGATTCTAGAGGCCAAAATAAGACGAAAATCAAGAATACAAATTTGTTGATGGAGGCTTCGTTAAAAAGTTATTAACAATTAAATTCAAAAATTTCAAATCATTCTGGAAAAATTATTTTCGGTTGCGGGGGTCAATTATAATCATTTTTGGTCATTATACATACCCCCGAAATCCTACGCACTTTTAAGAAAAAAATTCCTTACCGAAAATCTAATTAGGTGTCTAAATTCAACGAAAAAAAAAAATTTCAAATCGTTCTGGAAAAATTATTTTCGGTTGCGGGGGTCAATTACAATTATTTTTTATGAATAGACATACCCCCGAAATCCTGCGCATTTTGGAGAAAAAAATTCGTTACGGGCGGAACTTTAAACGTTAATAACTTTTTAACAAAGCCTCCATCAACAAATTGGTATTCTTGATTTTCGTCTTATTTTGGCCTCTAGAATCCCCCATTAAAATTTTTCCCAGGGGTGGC